ATAATATAAATATATATAAACGAAATAATAATAATTTTAATACTTTGTTGGATAATCTTTTTGTTTAATAACATCTTGCAAATGTTTAGACATGTTAAAAATAATTTTTATTAAATAAATCTGATGTGCGCGTCCATTCTTCTTTTAATCATAATTTTAGTTCTTCTTTTGATCTTGTAGGCATAATTCAAATGTTACGATTTAATAAATTCCATAAATTTTCTATGGGATTTAAATCTAGTGACTGTAGTGGAAGATGTAATACTTTTGGACAGTTGTATAATAAATATTCTTGCACTATTCGCAATTTATATTTTGGATCATTGTCATTGTCTTGATAAAATTTGAAACTACTTCGTATATTCATATTATTAGCACTTGTTATTAAATCTTTTAGAATACTTAAATATTTATTTTTATTCAAAATTCCGCCAATGAAAACTAATTCATTCATTCCTTTACTTGAAATCCCAAACTATTAAACTTCTACCGCCGTGTGTTACAGTTGATTTCAAATTTTTCAGTTTGACTTCAAATTTCTTCGTTTGCTTTTCGTCATATCATTTTCTGTCCATTAGATCCAAAAATGTTAAATTTGCTCTCATCAGCGAGTATTACATCATTCCACCATATTTATTCTTTAGAAATAAATTCTTTGGCGAAAATTAATCTTTTCTTTCGATTCGCTTTATTTATGAACGGTTTTTTACGAGTAACTTTACCGTTGTAACCACTTTCTTTTAATGCTCGAACTGTATCAGGATGTACTTTCTTGCAAATTTCTTCGTATAATTCTGAGGTCAATTTTGTAGCACTTAATCCAGGATTTACTTTTATTTTCCTAATAATTTTACATTTATCCCGTGAGTCAAATAATTTTGGACGTCTTTTCTGAAGTATTGATTCAATGCGATCTTCACGAACATATCTTTTTACAATATCTGCTACCATATTCTTACTCAAATTTATTAATTTACTGATTTCTTGATGTGATTTGCCTTTTTTATAATGAAAAATAACAAGTTGGCATTTATCAAATGAACTATTTTTGCCTTTATGTCCCATTTTCACTGTTAACTTGTGTAATCTTGGGAAAATTAGGTTAACTCAATTCAACATGAAATAACACATATTTTGTATGACTTACTTCACGATAAACAAGTAAGCAATAAACTAATTTGATTTTCGAAGGTCAGTAAATATAAAATATATTAAGTGTTCGAATATTTTTGTGATTCTAAAATTAAGGATTAACTTATTTAATATTTTTTACATTAGTTAAATAAATTAAAACTACATTTAAATAAAGAAAATTAATTTTTTTACATCTATAATGAGCGTTTCCAATGATTAAAAAACCGTAAATTTCTTAATCCTATAAAAAAACTA